GCCTGACAATTACTAGCACTAAAGCCTAAGATTCTAGCCCAGCTCCACAGCTATCTTACTAGTCGTGTTGTACTGCTTCTTTTTGGTCACTGGTCTCCCAGAGTCTCAGAATAGAACCCTGTCTTTGTTAATCCACTCCCTGTTGCTACTGCTCTCCCTCACCTGACTCAAGCCACAGACTCGGGATCATCCTGCAGTGTCAACACAGAGGCCTCTGATTTGCTGTCCTTTCTGTCTGCAACACTAGACAGGGCATGTCCCGTAAATTCTTTCAGGTCTTGCTCAAGGACTACCTCTTATTAGTGAAGCCCTTCCCTATCCCATATGAAATAGCATCCCCAGTTACTTATTAAATCCTTTGCCTTCCACCTACTATCTATGTCCTTACTTGCTGTTCTTCCTCCAATGTAATATGTGTGAGCAGATACTGTATCTGTTTTATTGACGGCCATATCCCTGGCATCTAGCTACTAATCACACAATTCCATTATGGAATGTACCTAGGATACAGACTTTAATTTTAAATATACTTTATTTCCTTCTCAGAGGTAAGTCTATTTCAGAGATCCAACTAAAGAGGGTAGCGAGGCAATGCCAGTAACAAAAACGGCATTTTCTGATCTTCCGTGCACTGTTAAGAAAACAGAAGGCGTGGAGAATCAAGATGACGAAACAAGGTAAGGACACATCTAAGCAGAGAAACATTAGCCAGAGTGAAGCATTCCAGCAAACAAGACAGCACAGACGAATGGCAGAGGGGCACCTGGAGACTGACAGATATGGGAAAGCAGCGGAAATAGTGTTTCAGTGACCAGATGCCACAGCAGCATTCAGCCAGTGACGATTGTAACTGCACCAGTGGCCAGAACTCTACCAGCAACCAGGTGAGAAGGGGAGTTTACCGGGAACGCATGAGGTGAACCCAGACAAAGAACTGACCATCCTGCTGGTTTGTTTGATTTGACCAGGAGCAGAAACAGAGCAGCAGATCCCAAACGGGCAGTGCGGGAACAGGGTGAATTTCATTGTCCAGTCAGCACCATAGAGCCAAACTGGATGTCATCTTGTAAAGGGATGCAGGGGCTATGGGACAGGACTGCACATGCCCTAAACTGGGAGTAAACTCATTTCTGGCTCAGTGAATTACAATGACATAGCATTCTACAGGTTCCACCCCAAATAAGTCTGGGTAATGCTAGCAGTGGCATACATAAGGCACCATTTTATACAGTGTGGCAAAGGTTTTAAGACTGCAAGACAACAGAGCTGCACATGCGTTGATTTGGGAGCAATGTCACTGAGCTCAGTGCATTATACTGGGTCCCACTCGATGGTGGCAATGGCATAACTGACTGCAAACAAAAAACCAGGTACCAACCACAATAAGTAAAATCAAATTGTAGATCTGTGCGGTGACACAGCTTAGAAACCTGCCTCAACGAGAAGAATCTATAACCAGAAGTACAATGATTAAGAGCAAAAGAAGAGACAGAAGAACAATGAGTGTTACTGAAGAGTCACCTGCAAAGGAGCAAAACCTTTGACGACCTCAGAATTAACTGGGAAATACATCAAGAAAATGGGGGATACAGTATCCAGAAAACTCATTACAAAGCTTCTTATCAACTATGAGAAGCACATACAAGAGTTCGAAGAATTTAAGGAGTATGTCATGAGGGAAATATCAACACTGAAACAAAATCAAGCTGAATTATTGGAAATGAAAGACACAATAGATCAAATTAAAAATTCAGCAGAAAGTCTCAATAACAGAATGAAGGAGAAAGAAGAAAGAACTCAAAATTAGAAGATGATATCTTGTCACCAGGGAAAAACAATAAAAAAGCTGGAAGCAGAGCTAGATCAAGCTAAAAAAAGTATTCAAGAATTGAAAGACACTATTAAAAGGCCAAATATAAGTCATGGGAGTCCCAGAAGGTGCACAAAGAGAAGCTGGGTTTAAAAAAGTATCTGATGAAATAATAAGGGAAATTTTCCCTAATCTAGAGAAAGAACTGGGAAACAACATCAAAGAGGGGCAAAGAACTCCCAACAGGGTTGACCAATAACGCTAAAATACACCTCTTTTTTTAATCAATTATATTAATGCCTGATTAATGAGTTTAAGACATTTACATTCTGGGTTAATATGAATGGGAGTAATTTGGTCCTGTCATTGATTTTGTCTACTGGGATGTTCTTTGCATTTGCCTTTAGTTTCTTTTGACTGTGGAAGAATTTTATTTCATTTGCAAAGACAAAAGAAAGTTTTGCTGGGTACATTATCCTGGACCAACAATTTTTTGCTTTTAGAATCTGGAATAAGTTGCTCCATTCTCTTCTGGCCTGAAGTTTCCTGTGAGAGGTCTCATGTGAGTTTAATTGGCATTCCTTTATATGACAGTTGATTTTTTTCACGTGCACATTTAAGGATCTTTTCCTTATGTTCAGCTGAAGAGCTTGATTATCACGTGTTGTGGTGAAGATTGCTTTCGGTCAAACCTACTGGGAGTTCTTTGCCCCTCCTGGATGTTGTTTCCCAATTCTTCTCTAGATTAGGGAAATTTTCCCTTATTATTTTATTAGATACATTTTTAAATCCAGCTTCTCTTTGTATACCTTTTGGGACTCCCATAACTCTTATATTTGGCTTTTTAATAGTGTCTTTCAATTCTTGAATACTTTTTTTTAAGCTTGACACAGCTCAACTTCCAACTTTTTGATTGTTTCCCCCAGGTGACAAGAAATATTTTCTAATTTTGAGAGTCTTTCTTCTGCCTCCTTCATTCTATTTTGGAAACTCCACTGTACTTTTCATTTGCTCCACTGTATTCTTCATTTCTGATATATCAGATTTCTTTTGATTCATTTCCTGTGACAAATTCCTTAACTCAAACATCACAGGTTAGTAGACTTTATTAAAATGCAAAACCCACCCATTTATTGCCTACAGGAGGAAGATCTCACCGACGAAGATCAGCAGAGGGCCCGGCGCGGTGGCGCAGTGGTTAAGGTCCTCGCCTTGCACGCCCGGGATCCCATCTGGGCGCCGGTTCTATCCCGGCAGCCCCGCTTCCCTTCCAGCTCCCTGCCTGTGGCCTGGGAAAGCAGTCGAGGACGGCCCAAAGCTTTGGGACCCTGCAACCGCGTGGGAGACCCGGAGGAGTCTCCTGGCTTCAGATTAGCATAGCATCGGCCGTTGCGCTCACTTGGGGAGTGAATCATCAGACGGAAGATCTTCCTCTCTGTCTCTCCTCTCTATATATCCACCTTTCCAATAAAAAATAATAAAAATAAAATAAAATTAAAAAAAAAAAAAAGATCAGCGGAAACTACAGCTCAGGAATTCTGAATTTTTTTTTTTTTTTAGCTTCACCTCTTCAAAATTCTTTCTCATTAAATTCTTCACTAACTCACAGGTCATACAGTGGCATCATTTCCTTCCACAGTCAAGAAACATAAAAGAATATGCTTCTTTCAAACCTGCCCTACAATGATACCTAAAGATGTTCTCTTGACAGAGAAGAGGAATAATGTCCACCAAAACCAAAGGCAACTGCGAAGAGCATCCCAGTAAAACAACAACAGAAGACTAAATCAATGAACAGCCCATTGCTAAGATGACAGGATCAAATTATAACCATTCATATTAACACAGAATGTATACGTCATAAACTCATCCATTAAATGTCATAGATTAGTAGACTGGATTAAAAAACAAAACCCATCTATTTGTTGCCCACAGGAATTTCATCTCTTCAAAATACTTTCTTCTGATTAAACTCTTCAATGACTTATAGATCATATAGAAGCATCATTTTCTTCAAAAAGGTTATTGATTTCTTTTTCATTTCTTCAGCGATGCATTAGTCATTCAGTAGCATTTTAAACTTCATGGTGTTAATTTCTTTTTTCTTCCTGTTATTATTTTGTTTTGTGACTTTTCATTTAAAGGGATGTATAATAACTGTGTAATGGAGACTAACATATCTAGTAGCATGTTATTTAACTTCATGGCATTGTAATTTTCTATTTTTCTTCCTACACTTGATCACAAAAGGCCGAGTAGTGATCTATTTTTCTTCCTGAGCTGATTTTGTATTGTGGCTTTTCATTTAAGGGGACATATAGTAACTGTTTTGTAAACTGTCATATCCACATGTGAGAATACAATGCAGTATGCCATCTCTACTTTCAGACAAAGGTGGACTCCCAATGAAACTGACAACAGGATGCTGGACTCTGTGCCATTGTCCATGCCCGCAATGATGGACATATGACTGTGTATTAAGAGCTACACTATAGTAATAATATAGGGGAACTCAGTGGGGGAGGGGGAGGATTGGCGATGGGATAAGGGAATGCCAGGGCCTATGGAACTGTATCATATAATGATAATAATAAAAAGTTTGAAAAAAAAAATCAAAGTCTCGGGGTGCCAAGACTTTCTCAAGCACACCTTGAAATTTCAGCAATACGATAAAGTGAGTCAGGGGACCACGTCCTGGGACAGCTGTTTCAGCAACTGCCTGACACCCCAGCACCCCATCTGAGCACGGGCTTGACTTCCAGTGCCCCTACATGGGATGCAGCTCCCTGCTAATGGGCCTGGGCAAGCAACAGAAGAGGGCTCAAGTGCCTGGACCCCTGTCGCCCCCGTGGGAGACCCAGATGGAGTTCCAGGCTCCAGACTGCAGCCTGCCCCAGCCCATTCGGAGAGTTCAGAGTCAATCAGAGGATGGAAGATCCCTCTCCCCTAAGATCCAGGAGCGTCTCTGCTGGGAACAAGTCCGGGTCAAGTCTCACAAGCCTCCCTCGTGTTCTGACAGACCAGGGACTCTCTAGGAATTCTTCCGTCTGGAGTCAACCTCTGCAATGAGGGACCCGGGGGGGCCAGCCGGCACAACCCGGGGGAGAAGCAGGACGGTCTCGGGATCCTGGCACCACTGCTGCTGAGGACCAGGAGGAGGAGGAAAGGCCGGGAGGCTCGTGGAAGTTACCTTGACCAGCCACACGCCGGTGTTCTGCTTGGCACCGGTGAGATCGAGTTCCCCGCGCTCGGCCATGGGGCTGGTGCCGGTGGACGGACGTGTGGGCCACGGCACTGTCCTCGGGTGCTGGGGCGCTGTGGGGCGAGCGCTCGGAGACCACGGCCAGCCGTGGTAGGAGGCGGACGGCCAGGAATTCGTGCCGCTCACCCGCCAGGGTACTTTATACCAGGAAGAGCCGGAAGCACGCCTGCGCACTGCCTACCCGAGTACGGCGCGCTGGCGAGGACAAACTTCCTCTCCAGGAGCGTGGTTCAGTCCCAAGTGGGCGCGGCGACTGGTGAATTCAAGCTCTGGGTGGTCCGAGTCAGCAGGTCAGCAAAGCATTTCAAAGCTAGGCTAGCCTAACAGGAAACATTTTAAAAAGTGTCAGTATTTTAAAAAGGAACTTGAAAGGGAAGAAAGCTATCCTAACCAAGTAGGGGCAACTTTTGAAGGGCAAGTTCAGGTTGATAAAATGGGGTTTGGAGCCAAGGGCAAGGGTTTGACCCCTGGCACTGGACTGAGTATGTTGACCTAGAGGAAACTGGGGTGTCAACTCCCAGGTTACTCTGAGTTCGGATTAAGCAAGCAGAGCACATCGCTTTTGTACTAACGTCTCTCCTTAGAGGCCACGTTCTCTGGCTTGGGCAGGGCAGCTGTCTCAGGGAGCAGTAACCCTCACGACATGGGAACGTCGGTCACCCTGCTCTGGCTTGGCCCGTGTACACGCCTCTGCTTTGAAGGCTTATCTCTGTGAGGGCGAGAGCCAGGAGTAAAGATGAAGATACCCAGGTCCGTAACAGTGTCAGAGCCTTTTTCTCAGATACCCTGTTTTCCCTCCGCTCTCACCTCTGTCCTCCGCCTCGGAAAACCATATCTGTGTTTGAAGATTAATGTAAATGCCACTTCCTACTGTGAGGAGTTAAATGAGCTCATGGGCAGGCCAGGTCCCTGTCACGATGAGACAAATGATCCTTTAAGAGTGGGCAAAGTGCTTGCTCCTTCCCAGAGATTGCCTCTAGCAACTCAGTTGGTTCAAGAGAACAGGCTACATCGGATTTTCAGTTCCCACCTCTGATAGGTTTTTAGTTTTAGTGGGAGAGCAGGTTAGGATTACCAATTCCAACCTTCTGTTAAGATTTTATCCTGGCCTCTGATTGGTTATTATCCATGCCCTCTGATTGGATGATGTTTCTGATTGGATGATGTTTCAGTCCTCTGTTGGTTGATAGGTATTATTTGCTCCTCCCCAGTTGGTTAAATCTAAGTAGCCACCTTTTATGCATAAAGACAAGGCTCACAACCTTCCCCCAGAAGGGCCACTTAACCGCTGCTGGGGCAGAAGGCTGTGGTCTTGCTTTGCCTCTGTCCTTGTCTGTATGGAAATTCTGTTTTGTTTTTGTTTTAATTGGAAACAAAGATATACAGAGAGGAGAGACAAAGAAAGATCTTCCATCCTCTAGTTCACTCTCCAAATAGCAACAAAGGCCAGAACTGAACCAATACAGTGCCTCCTCCAGGTCCCCCACACGGATGTAGGGTCCCAAGGCTTTGGGCCATCCTCTAGTGCTTTCCCAGGCCACAAGCAGGGAGCTGGATGGAAAGTGAGGCAGCCCAGACATGGACTAGCACCCATATGGAATCCTAGTGCTTGCAGGCGAGTGATTAACCATTTGACTCATTGTGGTGTATACATGTGCATGCGCTCTGCACAGTGAGACAAGAACCAAAACTGCCCTCCTGGTCCTGAACTACCATCTAACCTTTGATCAGCCCTCCGTGCCAGGAAGTTCATTTTTTTTTCCACATCACACTGTCCTGTAATAAACACCTTTACATGTCTGCCTTTGTTTTCTAGACTATGAATTCCTCCTAGGTGAAAATAGTCATCTCTCCCAGCTTTATTGAGGAACTGTTGATAAATTTTTTAAAAATAATGCTTTGTTCATTTTATACCCACAACATCTAGCACAGTGTTTGACGCTTTGTCAGATTTCTACAGAAAATTGGCCCTTTGATTGAATGAAAATTTGTTGAAGAGAAACAAATTTGTTGAAGAGAAGCAAACGGTAAGGCATTGTAAAAATGAGTTTATTTGGATCACACATGAAAGCTATACACAATCTTCATGAAATTCTGTTTCTGCACAGCATAGGGCCAGGAAAAGCTGTCAGGTCTAGGAGATCACGTTGCAGAACTAACAGGAAAGATAGAGAGATCGTGCATAGACTGAAGAGGAATGTTGCATCCTGTGTCACAGCTTGAGAAAGACCTACGACGTGTACAGGGCAAGCAGTAAAACATAATTGCTTTCACCTGTGATCAGTAGAGTGGGAAATTAAGATATAATATCCTGCGAGAAGGGAAGGGACGTACCTGGAGAATCTTAGAAATGGAAGCAAGAGTAAAGGATTAGGACCTCAGCCTTGATCTAAGGGACATAGGAAGCTGTAAATGTGTGTGTGTGTATTTGAGCATACAAGCATGTGTTTATAGAGATTATAAGAGATCAAATAGCTAGAGAAAAGGCTAGAAGAGATGAGGAAATGTACTTTTTTTAAAAAAAAATCTTGCTTTATTTTATTTTTGATAATGTTTGCATGGTTGAGGAGGAGGGATGCCTACGTGGACCACTGATTAGGGTGGGAAAGGTCGAGGAATGGGGGAAAGTGGATGAAACAATTGTTTCTGAATTTTTTTTCTTCCTGTATCTGGAGGAAGGGAGGAGAGAAGGTTCCCAGCAGCCTAACTGCATCAGTGGGATCTGGGATGGTCACTCGGTGTCATCCTAGGGTCGCCAGGATAGAACATGTCCCCGAGGGCACTGTCCAGGTGGTGTCAGTAGTTCTGTGTTGTTGATTTCATTGTTCCTAGGTTGAGGAAATCCTTCCTGGGTCCATAAGCTGACATGGTCCATCATAGTCTCCACTCGCCCAGATACTTGCTATCAATGCTTAGCAGGAGAGCTGTCCAGTTTGTTCTGCCACACATGGTACTGGATGTCCTCTGCAGGCTTCAGTGATCTGTCATATCACTCAAGTGCATCTGGGCATGCCATCCACTGCACTGTCTTCACCAACCAAGTAAGCCCAGTTCTGACATATGAACACTATCAGACCACAGATCCTGTAATTTCCCCTGTGATGGAGTTTTGAGACCAACAGTTCAATTGGGGGTGTCCCCAAAGAAACCTCACCATAGACGACCCCAGACCTGACTCCTTTGTGTGTCAGCCAGTGTGGGGTCCGGCTCAGTCCATCAACCACAAAAACCTACACACACATTGGTGGTTAGAGCTGCCTGGTCAGTTCTATCTCCAGCCCCATCTCTTACACAAACCAATGGATGCTGTGGGCCAGCCTAACCCTGTCCATCACACACCCAGCCATCACACATACCAGCTGAAAGTGGAGCCTAGTCAGAACGACGCCTCCCCGCGCCCCAAACCCTCACTAGGCCTGCCCCCAGCCTCAGTTTGAAAAGTAAATGTTTTAAAATAATTTTTCTATAGGGACAAGGATAGAGTGTGGAGCAACAATTGATTGAGCTCTCCATCTGCATACACCACTGAACAAAGAACAAGCTCCTCCATCTGTCCTTTCTAAACCTCCTTCTTGCCGAACACACGATGTTTGCACCGCTGTGAGAGGAAACAAAAGCATGACCTCTGTGATCCAGACCCACAGGTTCACTCCAGAGATCTGCAGGGCGGAGACACTGCAACCAGGTGCCTTATCTCCTGAATACCTATATATTTATGCCTGCTCCTCTCTAACATGTTTAATGCATATCGTTTCATTTAGTCCTGATAGTAGCTTGTTGGGTTAGGAATTATTGTCCTTGATATAGCACCATATGTTATTCTAAACTTTCAAAACTTGAGCCAATGTCTCAGGATTGTGCCCAGCCAAGTATTCAATACTAGAGGTCAGTGCCCTCCCACCTACCCCCGCTCAAAGTTAATTCCATACTTTTTGACTACCCCAGAGGACTGACTCTTCAAATTCTAATAAAATCATTTAGGGCACAAAAGCAATCTTGCCTTGGAGGGCTAAATAACTTGCTGACAAGTACAAATCTTCTTTTCTTTCTTTTAAAAACAAATTTTTTATTTATTTGAAAAACAGATTTACATAGGAGAGAGAGAATCTTCCATCTTTGCTGGTTCACTCTCTAAATGGCCACAATGGCTAGAGTCCGGCGGATATAATTCCAGGAGCCAGGAGCCTCCTCCAGTCACTGGTGCCAGGACAGGGGCCCAAGGACTTAGGCCATCCTCCCCTGCCTTCCCAGGCTGTAAGCAGGGAGCTGGATTGTAAGCCCTATGCAAGTTTTCAAGTAGTCTAGTGGTGCTTAGACCAATCTGTGACCTTCAATTTTATCTTAGCCTTGGAGTCTGGTCCAGACCCTAAACAAGTCTCCCTGTTAAAAAGGTAGATTTATGTTCCCCTGCTTCAGGAGTCTGCTGAACCAGCAACATCAGCAGAAACTCATTCCAAGCACCACAGTCACCACCAACCAATCTTGTTCTGTATCAGAGGAGTGTGCCCAGTGTTTGGTCCCTGGACCATCTCCAGGGATGTCAGGCACAAGAGCCCCAGTAGAAGCCAACAAATGCAGAGCCCAAATCAGGTGTTGTAGCAGAGCAAGCTTCCACTTGAGATACCCACACGCCATAGGAGAGCACAGGTTTAAGTCCCAGCTTTCTGTGCTTGCCATCCAGCTCCCTGTTAATGCACACGGAAAGCTGCAGATGATGCCTCTAGTGCTTCAGTTCCTGCCACTCACAGGAGAGAGCCAGATGGAGTTCCTGTCTCCTGGTTTAACTGGCTCAGTCGTGATTGTGGCAAATATTTCAAGAATGAACCAACAAATAGAAGACTTACTCTACTCTTTCTGTCTCTCTGTCTGTCTCTCTCTTTCTGCCTCTCCATCTCTCTTTCTGCCTCTCCATCTCTCTTTCTGCCTCTCCGTCTCTCTTGCTATTCTCTTCTAATACATTTTTGCCAAAAAAGAAATCAGAAAGTCTAGAGGTACATTTGAAAAATGACATTTATTTCTTAAGCACAGCAAAGTCTGACAACCATTGCTCTAATCCCATATCTGTAAATTTCTTAGAAATTGGGCCATCTTCCCAGGTTTCTGATACTAGAAAAAGGTGAAGACAAATCCT